GAGCAGGCCAAGGAGAGAGGCCCAGAGGAGGCCAACGCCCCCCCCCCCGCACCTCCAGAACTGTGAGAAAATCCAGTTCTGCTATTTAAGCCACTCAATGTGTGTGTGGTATTTTGTTCTGGCAGTCCGGGCCAACTAGTGCACTTGGGAGCTTGCTGGAAATGCAAATTGCTGACCTACTAAATCAGAAACTCAGGGTGGCACCCGGCAGACTATAGCTTAACAAGCCCTCCAGGTGGCGTCCACATGTGCTGACGGTTGAGAACCGCCAACGTGAAGGACTAATACTTGGTGGTAGTGAGTCCCCCCCAAAATGATACGTGGTTGGAAGTGTGGGCTGGTCTGCTAAAAATGTAAGCCTTCTTTTAATAGGCCCTGGAGAAGTTCCAGTAGGTTCTTGAATGAGATGGTGTATATGAAAATATTCTGTAAATGCCAGAACGTCCCGTGGACTTGCGGTGGTCGTGCATCGTAACATTGGCGTTCAGTCAGCTGGGGCAAGCCACCCTCTGAATACTCCGTCACGAGCAAACGGAACCAAGAATCTCCCTCCCTCCCTGACCGGAACGCCCGCATGGCTCAAAATCTCGTTCATCTTTCCCCCGAGCGTTTGGAATGCTGCTTCTTTCCAAGCACAAAAACAAGATTTAATCACATGTCCCCTTTTGCCCCTGCTACTAGGAAGCTCACAACCAAGGGAGAGCCTTAATCACAGCCCTCAGAGTCCGTATATTTGCTTTTTCCCTGTTTCAATTTTATACTGCACTTATGTCCTTTGTTGTAGTCGCTTCAAATACCTTTGAGAGAGAAATATAGAAAAGGAGTGAAAGGAGAGAGAGATGGGTCTCACGGCTCTCGGAAAATGATCAGATCGACAGACCTCTGCTTTGTGACACTGGTAAACATGGCTGGAAAAGACAGGTGTTCTCTTTCGGCGACAAGGAAGCAAACTGCCCGTCATTGACGAGTCCTCTTCACGCCCCTGTCTTCCTGTGGTCCCCTTGCTGTGGGTTCCTTGTATAGTTCCCTAATATTCAGGGAGCTTGTTTGTTGCTGAAGAGTCGTTACTGTCACAGAAGCTCCCGTGAGCCCTGCTTGGGGACCAGTGTGGAAGTGACGTGACCGGATTCACATTTTTTTTAAGATTCAAAATCACTGTTTCCCTGTGATTTCTTACCTGCTGTTGGTCGTACAACAAACAGGGAGATTTCTGGAACAGCCTGGGCTGCTATCAGAAGTCTCTCCAGCCCCGTTCTGGCCGGGTGGTGAGGAATTACTCTCTTCCTCTCACCTGTCCAGGGCTCCCCTTAACCAGGTTCCTTCAATCAAGGCACAGGGGTCCACAGAACGAACTCCCAGCGATCTGGAGTTCTGTATGAGAGTTGTATAAACTTTGTATATTTATTTTGGTGATAAGATTTTGGAATTAATCAAAGCATTTCTGGATTGTCGGGCCACCTTTCTGGCCCTTGCAGGTGAACTCACGGTGCATGCGTCCATTCATGGTCCTGGTGGCTGCGTGCACGCCTGTTCTCACCGTCACATCTCATTAGCAATGGGCAGAGACAAAAACAGGTCAATGATGAGCTCGTACCAAGTTGCTGGGGTCCAGCCTCGGCGGGTCTCAGGGTCCCCGAAGGAGGAACCGCTCAGGCAAAGAGACTGAATCGAGGCACCCAGTAGGGGGCCGGAGGACAGCCAGGCTCTTTGGGCCTGACTGACTCACCAAGAAAAGTCAATCTTTATTTTTATGGGGGAGGTTATACAACATTCAATGCATAGTGTGATTTTTAAAACAGGAACGGTTACCATAGAAATAACTTCGAGAAGTACAGAAGGTTTTACAGATCAATCATGTTAAACAAAGAAATAACTGAAAAGTACAGGAGGTCCCACAGATCAACCATGTTAAACAAAGGTTATTTTGGCCAAGAGGGTTGGTTATCCATCAGATAGCCAACGAAGCTATACGGGCACAAACTTTCAGGTGCCAATTAGTAACTAGGTGTCTATGAAGATTCTAGGGATTGGACTAAATTAAAAGGGTACAAGGGGTGATTTATAGGTTATATAGGAATTAGCTATTGTCCGTTGAGGTTAGATTTGTCTAGGTTAGGTAACTGGTTTCCCACCTAGGTCTTTTGATTTATACATCTAACGGCGGGGGCATGTTTTGTATTCGTTTCCATGTATTGAGATTATTATATCCAACTAGAACTCCTTGCTTCTTTACCCACCTGGTCCCATTAATAAACATTCCTGTCCAGGGTATGGGAGGGGTAGTAGCTCTAATAAATCTTGAGCTTTTAAGTGGTGACTCCTTAAGGAGCATTCCTAGCAACATTCTCACAGCTGGTCTCCCATAGTTTAATCATGTCCTTAGCTTCCCAGGTGGGGGAAGCAGGCAGCATTAGCGTTGTTAGGGATTTCTGCTCTGTGGTCAGCAAATCATTTCGCGCAGAATCAGAGGCATCGTGCAGATTTTTTGTTATAACCCAGGTGTCCAGAAATCCCACCACCTACTGCTAGCAGGGACAGGCCTACAGGAAGAGATAGACAGGAGATCCAGCCACAGTCGCCTCTGCTGTGCAGACGCGTCTCATCCAACCCCGACTGTGTCAAAGGTCAGCTGTTGGTCGGCTCCCAACACCAAGGAAAGGTCACGTGATGTCAGTGACTAGGAGGGAGAACGCGGTGGGGAAAGGGAGCCCTGGGGCAGCGCAGCGGAATGAGGACGGGGCAGGGAGTCTGCCCGGAGCCAACAGCGAGCCCCGACACGCTTCCCGCGGGGCTTCCGTCGCGGTGACACAGCGTCATCCGCCAGGGTGCCCTCGTTCGTTCCGAAAACGCCTACATTTGTTTTGGATCGCATATGCCTACTTTTATAGTTAGTACGTTAAATCAGCGCTAGTCTGAAATTGTTTTAAAATAAAAAGTTAAAAATTTTTTTAAAAAATCAATTAAAATGGTTTGTTAAAAGAAACATTCAACACTAGGGCCCAGGTGAACACCCTCCTCCGAGAAGGGCCCGGCTGTGTCTCCCGACCGAGAACGCGCTTCTCTCTCCCGACCCCCGACCCAGAGGCCCCCGCAGGGGAAGCGCTGCCTCGTTGCCGCGGGTGTACCATTTGCCATCTCAACCGCCAGGGGAACGGGGAAGTGGGAGGGAAAGAAACCTCAGATACCGCATCGCAAAGCCGCACGGAGCCGTTTTCTGTCTCTGCGATTGGACGGAAAGTGATACGGTGGCATTGTTCCGTTTTTCCTGCCGTTGTGGTTCTGAGTGCAGTGCTGAGTGACACGCCCCCATCGGGAAGGCCAGAGAATTGTCTCCAACTGGAAGGAGCTGAGAAAAGGGGGGGGGGAATCCCCTTGTTTCTCTGCTCATTTAGTAATTTATTGCCTTCAAAAGTGTCCAGAACGATTCAAATGGGCAAAATTGATGGGCCCTTTTTCCTTCCCTTCTATTTCCTGTAGGACAGTTTGTTGTTGTTTTTAAATGGAGTGAATGTTCCTCTTAAGGTGATGAATACAGCTGCTAAGAAGACAGGAAATTCAAAAGTCAGTTTTCCTATTCAAAATAAACATTAACCGAATTCCACGACCTAGGGCTGGCCTGCAACAGTAGGATGTCCCCACCCCGGGGAAAGTCTCTGGGCGCTGGAGGCTAAGAGGCAGCCGCTCCAGGGTGGCGTGGCCTCCTGTGTCCTGTTCTCAGTGGTTTGTGAGAACTGGTTCAGCCTGGAAGTGAACGGCCTTTGGGGAGAAACGTTTGCTCCTCGAATTCAGAGGCGTGCGCACACCGTCCCGATGGAGGCTGCCAGCAGTGCCTCCCGGAGTGTGAGCCCTGTCGGAAGGGGTTGTATCTCCCAGCGGAGCCGAAGAGAGGGCCTTGTGCATTGTAGATCTGCACACATGTTTGAATGGACAGATGGATAAGGCAGAGACGAAAAGCTCAAAGCCAGTACGTGCAAATACCCGCACATTTTGGGTGCAGTTGATATAATCCAGACTCAACAACTGCCTTATGCACCAAAGCAAATGTAATAACTAATGTAACTGAAGCCCAGGAGTTGGGGGTGGCGGGTCTGGTTTCAACAACATACAAACCTAGGTATTCAGGTGATGTCACTGGGAATACCTCTCTCTGTCTTCCTGCTCTGTCCCTTCCATTCCCAGTCTAGCTGTCCCTGCACAGTAGCCCTCCTCCCTGTCCCCAGGTTCCAGGTGCCATTCTCACAGCTCAGCAGCTTGAGAGAAAAGGGAACTGAGAATGGAAAACGGATTCCCACAGGAAAATGGAGACACTGGTACCAAAAGGAGCAAAAAACAACAGATGTCCACCATGACAGGCTTGTAGAAAAAACGGTTCCCCTTGCATTAAAATAGAGCAACCAAATGCCCGCCGTCCATCCTTTCCTTCCACTTCACTCAAGAAGATGGAGTGCTGTGCGCATCAGGGGGAGAAGACAGACCTGAGTTGAATGCTGACTCTGTCTGTTGCTCGCTGTGTGATCTCAAGCTAGTAACGTAACCTCTCTGAGCCTCACTTTCCCGTTTCTTCCCAGCTAGACGGGAAGCTCCATAAGGGTAGTTACCACGTGGTATGTTTTATGACTGCATCCCCAGTGCCTGGCAGCACACTGCCTGGCACAATGGCGGGTACTTGGTATTATTAAATAAATCAACAGTGGTTCAAATTTGTTATACAGAGAAAAGGGAAACGATATATATGTAGCTCTAGTAAAACGCCAGTCACACGGACGATGGCGGATGAGTGATGGAGTTGATCATTCTATCATTCTACAAAGGAAGGGTGGCGGCACAAAGAGCAGAACTAGCTGGTGGAAAATAAGAAACGCAGAGGTAGGCCGCTTAGTGCTCCATCGCTGCCTTGGTGGCCTGCATGGGCCGTCACGGTTATGGATTGTGGAAAGACAGAAATATACTGCTCACAAGTATTGAATTGAATTGTTATTCCTCTTGTGTCCCCTCTGCAGCTGGAGCTCTCCAACACCGCGGTCTTGCACCAGATGAGGCGGGACCAGGTCACAGACACGTGCCGGGCCAACAGCGCCATGAGCCGCAAGCGGCGTGTGCTGACGCCCAACGACCTGAAGCACCTGGTGGTGGACGAGGACCACGAGCTCATCTACTGCTACGTGCCCAAGGTGGCCTGCACCAACTGGAAGCGGCTCATGATGGTCCTCACCGGGCGGGGGAAGTACAGCGACCCCATGGAGATCCCGGCCAACGAGGCGCACGTCTCCGCCAACCTGAAGACCCTGAACCAGTACAGCATCCCAGAGATCAACCACCGCTTGAAAAGCTACATGAAGTTCCTGTTCGTCCGCGAGCCCTTCGAGAGGCTGGTGTCGGCCTACCGCAACAAGTTCACCCAGAAGTACAACACGTCCTTCCACAAGCGCTACGGCACCAAGATCATCAAGCGCCAGCGGAAGAACGCTACCCAGGAGGCCCTGCGCAAAGGCGATGACGTCAAGTTCGAGGAGTTCGTGGCCTATCTCATCGACCCGCACACGCAGCGCGAGGAGCCCTTCAACGAACACTGGCAGACCGTCTACTCCCTGTGCCACCCGTGCCACATCCACTATGACCTCGTGGGCAAGTACGAGACGCTGGAGGAGGACTCTAATTACGTCCTGCAGCTGGCGGGAGTGGGCAGCTACCTGAAGTTCCCCACCTACGCCAAGTCCACAAGAACTACTGACGAAATGACCACAGAGTTCTTCCAGAACATCAGCTCAGAGCACCAAACGCAGCTGTACGAAGTCTACAAACTCGATTTTTTAATGTTCAATTACTCAGTGCCAAGCTACCTGAAATTGGAATAAAGGGGGTGGGAAGGGGGGGAGCGAGGGAGAGAATTGTGCTTTTTAATTTAAGATTTTTATTTGTCAAAAAGAATTATATGAATATTGGGTTATTTTGTAAATTAATATTTCTTTGGGGGTGATGCTGCGAGCAGCATAGCGAGAATTATTTAAAGCCCTTAGCAGGGAAGGACAAGCGGTCCGGGCAGGGGAGTCGGGTGGGGTCCCTGTTTGTAGACACGAATACTGCAACACTGTCTCAGAGGTTTCCTTGTGTTCTGGTGAATTCCATGAAGTGTGCATTCCACGAATTCTAATTAATATTATTTATAGTTATTTAAACACAGTCTCTGTATAGAGTTCATTTTGTGGCAGCAAGAGTCCAGTGTCTCCGCATAAGGAATCTGTGTTTCACTCTTCGCTTGCTCTGGCTCATTCGGGGGTGTGGACGTCCCCACTCGCCGCTCAGAGACGCACTGTGTGATGACAGCCGTTGCGATGTGGGCTGATGCCCCCGTGCTTGAAATTCTGCTAGAAATAAACGGAAAGAGGCACCTTTGCAAGGGACGAATTCCAAACCGATTTTCAGTCAACCCAAAAGTCCCTTGCCCTAAAGAAATGTGATTTTTGTTTAACCCAAGAAGAGAACTGATTGTAGCTTTTTTTTTCTTTTCACCAGAATTAGTAGTCTGCTAGAATAGGCTTTTCTCAATAAAATGTTAACTGGCAGTGCCAGTTGTGATGAAGATGAAGTGGTTGTTGCTTTGTAGTCAGAAAGTGTTTATCGAGCAACTACTATGTGCTGGGCCTCATTCTGGGCCCTGCAGATAGAGCCCTGAGCAAAGCCGATAGTCTCAGCCCTCGGGAAGCTTTACATGGTCACAGAGTCTCCAGCTTGACAACTAGCAAACCCCTAAGATTTTAGACTTCACGTGTGGTTAGGACTGTTCATAATCAGGTCCATGGCCCCTACAAATCTGCATCTTCCTATGACCCAAATTTGAAAACCACATGCTTGGAGCAGGCCACTGAACTTGGTGAGTAATGCAAGCTCAGTGCCCAGCATACAGGATGGCAACGATGTTTCTTATCACGTGCCTGGTCTAATTTATTGGTAGTGCCTGCCTTTAAGCCCTGGAACAGATTGAGCAGGCATAGCATGGGAGAATGCTGTGATTGATTAGTGATGTCTGCTCTGGGGCAGGGAAGGGGAACGTTAGCTGCATCCAGTGCCTCCTCCTGTCATCTCCAGCCCAGTAGCCTCCTGGTAGAAGTGTTGTTTTCTACCCTTGCCGTATAATACCATGGTGGGATTCCTACACCCTGGAGATTCGCAATGGCCTGGCGTTCCTACCCCTCACGAAGGTCAGGGGCGGCCTCTTGACTGTACACACGCACATGCGCACCTGCTCTCGAGTCCTCCCAGGGCTAAAAGGACCTCAGCACCTTTGTGACCGCCGTGCATGAGCAGCAAGGACAGCCTTCCGTGATGGCGAGTCACGCCCCCTCCCTCCGGAAGGCTGCAAACGTTCACTTCCTGCTCCTTGCCGATTACCGCCTGCGCATGCTCCCCGTCTCCAGCCATCCCCCCCCCCACGCCTCGGTCGAAGTTTGAGTCACATCCCTCTTAACAGCTAGCGAATGAGTTGGTAGCAGATACTGTATATAATAATAATAGTTCTAATAATAGGGGTGGGGTGGGGTGTGGGTAAGTTTTGCTTTTCATTTTGTTGTTTGATGCAGTACATAGCCAAGGGGTGAGAAGAATATTCTAAAACAAACAAAAAAAATGAATAATTTATTCACAGAAACTATGAAAATTGTATGGTAAAGCTCAGAGCCTGCCCAGTGAGCTGTCGCCGCCACATCTCACCGAGAAAATTATTTTAATGAATGGGAGCGAGGTGGCCGGAGCTATTTATAAATGCCGTGTGCCTCCTTCCGAGCTCTCTCCCCTTGCGAAGGGCGCGGTGACTCTACCCTTGATGGACAGAGATTGTTGCGGCCTGTTTTACCAAGCAGAGCGACAGTTTTTGGCTGTCCCTGGAACTGGGAGTCTGGACCCTATTTCCAGGCAGAGGATGCTGTCCTCAGAAATAGAGCTTCTGCCAATGAGACAGGTTGTCCAGCATTTTTAAGTACGTGTGCTCTGTAGAACACAGGTTCTAGGGGATGTCAAGTTCGTGTGGTAGGTACTAAATAAGAGTTTTGGGGTCACGTGTTCTTGACAAAGGAAGTTAAGTCGGTTTCCTTTCTGCTGGACTTTTCAGAGCCTTGAAGGTGAGCTGTGCATTGTGAATTCCCAAGAGTGTCACTGAGTCTGTAGCGTTTCTGACCTTCCGTGACCGGGACACGCTGTTTTGCAAATTATCTCACGGAGCTAGTGTTCCGCGGAGTACACTTTGGTTAGGTTGGTTTAGCCCATCTGAGGTCTTCCAGGACAAAAGCTTCCTCTCTCACCTTCTCTTCAAAAAACAAAAGTAAAACAAAAAAAAAAAATCAAAATAAAACAGCACCACAGTGTCCAAGCAGCAGAGGTACGTTATCAAATGAATTCACCAGCAGTGGTTCTCATCCTGGATTTGACCACAGGCAATGGAAGGGAAGTTTGGGGTGGTGTGGACAGAAGGAAGGGGGGAGGGCAAAGGCCACTGTGGTCCCCCGCTGCCTCAAGCCTTAGGTTGCTCGATGCAAGCAGAGTGAACGCGACCCTTGACGAGTGCTTCTTCAGGTCCAGGGGTTGGAATTGTTCACTGTGTGCTTTTCGGTCCTTCAGTGGAAATGCACTTGGATTTCCTGAGTTCCACGTTTCCGTGTCCGCCTTCGATAGGCTCTGCGAGCACACTCAGTGCTGTGTGCAGGTTGCCCTCTTGCATCCACGTCCCCTCTTTGATGTGAGGAGGAACATCCCTGGGGGATGGCCCAGCAGTGTGGTTCTGCAGCGAGGGACCCTTTCTCCTCCTGTTGTGTTTTGTATTCATATTTTACTTTCTAATGGTATACAATTTTTTAAAGTGATTCACTGTTTTTGCAGAAGGTAGAAAGTATTCTGTGTCCTTTGTTAAAAAGAATTCATGAGCGGAAATGTGCCTGGAAAACAAGAGTTTGGGGGGGGGGTTCTGTTTTGTTTTTTTGGTTTTGGTTTTTGTTTTTGTTTTTTAAGGAAACTGTTTGAAAATGCTTTCTATCGCATGCTTAGCTGGAGAAAAGTACAGGCAGGTGTCCCATCTCCGAGCCACTTTTCAAGGGTGCTGCTGTGTTTTCAAAACCAGGTACAGTCAGGGTAGTATTTTACAAGGACATTCCCGCTTACCTTACCGTTTTGGTTGGAAAACCCTAGAGTGCTAGTCACGGCGTTGGAATCCCTACAGCTTCTCTGGACCCCCCTGTCTGCCTCCCCAGCCGGTCTGGGAAGAAGGGCAGTCCGCTGACCTGTGGTGTCTCAGAGGGGACCGTCCTTCCCACCTGTCCACCAGGTGAGCTTCCCCATCCTGCTTGCTCAGGATCTGGACGCCACAGGAAAGCAGCAGGCAGTGGACACTCCTGTCGGACCAGTGGTCCCAGGGGCACAGCCCCAGAAACAAGGGTCTGGAGGGTCTGGAAACCCTGCTCATAGAAAAGCAAGTCCCTAGCACACTGGTGGAGTCTGGTGGAGTCTGCACCCGTACCGAGGCAGTGGTTGCAGAAGTCCCTGCTCTGACCCAGCAGCAAGCCGAGGGGACTCTGTCCCTGTGGGTGGTGCTCAGAGCACATCCCTCAGCCCAGTCCTTCCCTGCACGCACGCACACACACACACACAACCGCAGCTGCCCCCTTCTGTACAATCCTGGAGAGCAGAAGCCCTTCCTTGCCCACTCCTACGTCAGCAGGACTGACCTCATCGCTCTCCCCCATTCCTACAACCAGCATTTCCTCCGGCTCTTTGCCGTCACGACCAGTTGGACCCTATGAACAGGCAACGGGACCTTCTGCAGCCAGCCCGGCTGGTGGCCGTTAACAGGCGCGTTTCAGTCTGCTTCTCTTTGTCAGTGCCGGTGGGGCTGCCTGTGCCGTTTTCTGACGAGCATGCTCAGTGTGGCGTATGGATGTACAATTGAACATCTTTGTGGAGGGTGACTTTTTTTTACATATTTGTATGCAGTAGAGGGCTTGTTGTCGAGGGCTCCCTGTATCTCCCCGTGCTGTTCAAGAAAGCCGAATTCCACGTTGCCAACAAGAGCGTGACATGTCCATGAACCTTCCTCCAGGAAAAGCCATTCAAGCCTGATTATTTTTCTAAGTAACTTCAATTAAATTGAAGGAAAAAAGAAGCTCCTCTCTGTGTATGGTTTGTTCATGGCTCGCTGACAGAAGACTATGGGGGTGGGGTGGGCCGTGTTCCTTAGCGCGTGGGGGGTCCCGCTGGCGTGCATCAAGGAATGGAGGAAAACGGGCTCGTGGACCCCGCCAGCAGTCTGGGCCACTGCAGAGACCACCGGGGCTCCAGGCCCTTTCTGTTTAGTGGATGAATCAAGCTTTCTTCCTTCCATTTGTCTGTCAACTCTGTAGGGTCCGTGGTAGCAGACCTCCCATGACCGTGTAGTCCCACCAGCCGTGTGAAAAATGAGGAAACAGAGACCACCGAAGGGCGAGCGGCCGTGGAGAGACAGCCAGTGTACAAACCCCGGTCGAGGAGCCTTCAGAGTCCTCCACTTCGGGCACCGAAGAGCATGTCTCTCCAAACGACCGTCCCGCAGTCTGGAAGTTGTAGACCTGTCTCTCCAGCCCCAGTCCCCCAGTTCTCACCCCGTTCCTTTGCCGAGCCCTCCCCCCTCCCCTGCATAGTTTCTTTCAGTTCCATCAATGGACATTTTTAAGCTTTATTGATTTAAAAACATGATTGATTGATTGATTGATTGATATTTTGCTAAAGAGGAAATCCCTCAAATCAAAGTTTTTTCTCTATGTCATTGTATTCTAATTTATTTAAATGTATTGTCTAAACATTTTCACATGAGAATGTTGGATGAGACAGTAGATGCCACATTTCGACCACACCAGACACGGTTCATAATGTGTCCACTCACCAACTGGTTGTCATTGCCAGTGGCCTGGCTGCCACCGTGCCTGGTGTCAGATCACCACTGTCCTCTCACTGGCCCCATATGGTCGGGAAATGTCCAAACCGTGGAGCTTAGCAGTCTGAAATCCGTGGGAAATGCACTTCTTCTTTCACGCAGTGAGTGGATGTGACTGTCACGGCCTGCCGCTGTCTCATTTGGGACACTGTGAAGGTCGGGGCAGCACATGGGCGAGAACATCCCCAGCTTTAGTTTACTCCCCGTGGAAGGAGGCTGAGACGCCCGCTCATCATCGGCCAGCGAACCTGATGGTATGTCAATGGCGCCACAGGTGCTCGCTGTCTGACACGGCAGAAGCTGCAGAAACCAAGGCGCCCGTGGCCCAGGACATTGCCAGGGCCAGGCCGGGGTGGGGTCATTGTTGACCCACCGCCGAGGGAGCAGGAAGAGCCCCGGGCAGAATGATCAGTGTGCGGTGCCGGCACATCCTTTCTGGGGAAGGGCTTTCCTTTCTCACGTTACATCTTTCCTACGTTTTGGTCTTCAGATAGTTTTTACGATGACAGATGTTAGTAGTTGTTATTAGAAAGTAAAATATTGGCAATCCCATGTCAGCCCCCAAAGTCATTTCAAACACTTTCTCAACAAGTCATGATATCCAAAAGGACCAGGAACCCTTGGCCAAGAATGCATCTGAGACAGGAACTGAGGGGCGGAGACTCAAGGGCTCGGTGGAGGGCAGAACTCGGGGTCCCCTCCTGGGGTGCAGCTCCGAGCTCCGCCCAGCTGGCACCCACCAGCCTGCCCTCACGTTTGGAGCCCTGAGGCCCTGGACGGCTTCCGGGAAGGAGAAGACTGGTCTGTGTGCGTTCACTATAGAGAGCTCACTGGACCTCTTGGGTCTAGGGTGATGGGCATTCCAGTATGAACCAAAAAAGGGACATTCTAGCAAAACTGACATGAGAATAAAACAAACAACTCCCTCCCCACCCCACCCCCATTCCCTAATCCTCTCCTAGCACCAGAAGCTGTAGATGGAACAGTCAGATGGAAGCAGGCTGCTGCTGCCCGATACGTTGCTGGCTGAGAACTGTTCACAAACATCCCGCCTCTGTCTCCTCCTCTGACATAGGAACACGGTCCCATCTGAATGATGCCCGAGTGGAGATAAATGAGAACCCTTGAGGCCACCAGCCCCCGTTCATCCACCAAGCAGATGTTCATAACTTGGGCCTCGGTGTCCTCGACTACAAAATGAAAAAATTGAGCTATATATGTGGTTTTTAATTTTTTTAAGGAACCCCTTTAAAGTATTTTGTGTGCTGAACACTCCTATCTAAAATGAAACAGAAATGTTGGGATCGAATAGTTTGGGGCCCAGCTGAGCCTCTTTTCCCTGTAAAAGTCCTGTGGACTTTCCTGGACCCCTGGGGTTCCAAGGAACACTGTTCGAGAACCATTAAGTTAAAGGACTTCTGAGCCCTTTCAGCTTTGACATGCGCAAACGATCTACCCAAATCTTCCTTTGTGACTTTACACCAAAAAGTGCCCTTCGAAAGGGACCTTGAGTCAAAAGGAGTATCATAGAAGTCAAAACCGATTGAAGAAAGGAGTTAAAGCAACAGCATCGGAATGAGATGAACACGGAAGAAAAGAAAGAAGGAACTAGAAAAGTGAGAAGGCAGCAGCAGGTGCAGGAAACAAGTAGCTCACACCCAGGCCCAAGGTGGGGACCGAAGTTTACGCTCCTCTGCCCAAACGGTCCACGAGCGAACGGCAGGCTCCAGATTCCAACGAACCCCTGTTAATTTGAAACACAAGAGACCGGGCTCAAAGACAGGCTCTGCATTCATCTGCTTTTTATTTTTCAACGTTTGTTTTTAAAAATAATAGAGCATCTCGTTCTGACAGAATAGCCAGGGCCTGGATTTCACGGTGGTTTGGACAAGTCGGCTGCCGGGGACGGTTATTGTTTGTGGCCGCGTCCAGCCTTGGGCCTTCGCCAGAGCCAGAAACAGCTTCGTGCCTGGAACCAGACTGGCAGAGGGATGAAAAACATGCCTACAGGAGAAATGGAAGCAGGACCCCTGACTGCAGGATGACGCCTGCACACGGAGCACCCGCACACAGCTAGCACAAACAGACTCAGTGGTAGGGGGCTCAGAATTCTCGCTCTCAATGTGGTCTTTCCCCAAAATCTATAGTTCCATATAGAAAGTTGCCCGTAAAAGTGGCTGACTTTTACTAACCAGTTTAAAGTGTGCCCTATAATGTGTCAAATGCTTTCCAGTCAATCCTCACAACAGCTGAGGTAGATATTGGTACCCTTTTCATGGGTGGAAGGGAGCAGAAGAGTTGAGGAGTTACACAACTTGCCCCAAATGTGTCGCCCATTAAGTGGCAGAGCCAGGGTTCCAGCCAGGCCCCGGGGGACTTCCTACCCTGTTGGAACTGGCGTCACGGGCCGGCCACACTTGAGGCCAGAAGTCTAAATCTGGGGGTGATGGTGCTACAAACAGACATGGAGAAAGATGAAAACTTTAGCCACAGTGGCCAAAACTGATTAAATATCATTGAAAGACACTATGAGTATGAAACAAAAAAAAAGCTGGAAGCCTTGACCCATGTGGCTCAGTTCATTGGACATCATCCCACAAAGCAAAAGGTTGCGGGTTCAATTCCCAGTCAGGGCACATGCCTGGCTGGATAGAGGGTTCGGTCCCCCGTTGGGGCGCAGAGGCAACTGGTCAATGTTTCTCACATCAATGTTTCTCTCTCCCTTCCTTTCCCTCTGTCTAAAAATAAATAAATGTGATCTTAAAAAAAAAAAGAAAGCTGGAAGACTAAAAGGGTAGAGTTCAGACTAAACCAGTCACTGAAAACCAGAAGACCTATCCAAATAAATGAGGTTTCTGCCTATGCTGTTGCAACAGGAAACACTCAGTTCCCATCCTGTGTTTCTCCTTTACTCTCACACCACTGTCACTCGGCACTTCGCTGTGACACCAGCTGGCTGTCCTTCCGTTGAACTCCGTTCTGACGCCATCTACCTGGAGACAGCATCAGACCCCACGAGCCAGCGAAGAGGTCTCGGTGCCACAAGACCGCCTCATCCCCCGCTTCAGATGCCAATCACAAATCACCCATGCTTCTGACCAACTGGCTATAAATGAGAGGTTCCCACCACCACCTCCTCGGGTTCGATTAATTCGCTAGAGCAGCTCACAGAACTCAGGAAGAGTTTCCGTACTGTTTGCCAGCTTGCTGTAAAAGATACGATAAAGGCCACGGGTGAGCATCAGACGGAAGGGCTGCACCAGACACACACGTGGCAAGGGGCCTAGGGCAGTGTCCTTGCTCTTCCCAAGCCCTCCTCTCTTCCAGAACCTTCACCTGTTCACCAGCCCAACCTGGAAGCTCTCCAAAGCCCACGCTTTGGGGATTTTTATAGAGGTTTCATCACTTCTGCGTGATCAGTCATGAACTCCATTTCCGGCCCTTCTCTGCCCCCTGAATAATGGGGGTAGGGCTGAAATCCAAGCTTCTAATCATGGCTTGGTCTTTCTGGGGATCGGCCCCCTTCCCAGAGCCCACCAACAATCACCTCATTGAACAGAAGACACTGTCGTCACCCAGGGAATCGAAAGGGATCCAGGGGCTCTGTGTCAGGAGCGGAGCTCCAACGTCCGAACAGCAGATGCTCCTGGTGCTCTGACCACTTAGGGAATTACAAGGGCTTGGGAGCTCTGTGCCAGGAAGATAGATAGATGATAGATAGATAGATACATAGATAGATAGATGATAGATGTACATTCATTCAGGGCCTGGCCCAAATAATGTCCCTTTTTTATTACAAAATCTTTTATCACAAAATCATAAGCATGTAATTCTGCAACATAACAATATCACACTCAAGCACACCGTATGACATTTTAGGTGAAATATTCAAGTTAAAACTATAAATTATTACACCCTGATTATTAACCTACTAACCACACTCAAGAAGGCATTACTTCTGTGGGACCCTGTAAACATGTGTTAGTATGTGTATATATTATATATTATCTATAAGTATGTATATTATAGTATTATCTCATAATTGTCTATTATAGTATGTTGTCAAACCAGCTGGACATTTGAACAACGTTTGGTTTGGTTTTGTTTTTCTAGATTTTATTTATTTTCAGAGAGAGGGGAAGGGAGGGAGACAGAGAGGAAGAGAAACATCAATGTGCAAGAGAAACATTGAT